GATTATGGCCATCGATGTAATCGTCTGGAAAATGTTACTATAATAATATATATACTATATTAAGTTACAAAAAAAATCACTGAACTCAATAATGCACGTTATAGGTACTTGGTCACAAATAAACAATAACACTATACTATAATTTTAACATCAATGTCGCTTCCAACTCATTTAAACTTGTTTGAGCAAATAAAAATTCTCAAAACCAAAGTTTTGATTGATTTAAGAATACTATTGTATTAGGAACTGTTAAACTGACTGTTAAAGAAATCGTAATAAAACTCACCAATATAATTAACCAAAATTAAAATGTTTTTGTGAATGAGATTCAATATGATTAGTGATATTCAATCCTATTTGAATTAGACATTTTTGGCGATGACAAATGGAAATAATTACAACAGCTTCTAAAAAAAAAAAAAAATTAAACAAAAAAGCCAACTGAATGTGAAACCTTACATATATATTGCCTATATATTTTATAGTTTTAATAAATCATGCATCAGTATAAGTACATAATTTTCAGTCATTCAAATTTGAAAATTCTTTGTAATCATATTATGTATTATGGAACTGGAAACTTTTATTTCCATTTACCTACCTAGTTAGTTTATATACTAGTATGCATAAGCATATTTCAGTAATATATGCAACTCTAGGTGATGGCTAGGAGGTGATTAGTACTCTCAAATATTTTATTAGCATCTCCAAATAACTCGATTAATTATGTTCTAAGTACTTATTATACTAGTGTATACATTTCTAAAGTGAGAATAGAAATTGGAAAAACAATGTTTAAACTTACCCTTGTTAAATACTTAAAAAGGTTAACAAATCTAACCTAACCTAACATTATCTTTCATTTAAATACCTAATTGATTATTATAAAAGTATTGTGAATGTAGGAATAAGGAAATTTGTATCGTAAGTTTTGTATAATTTTAGTACTCCCAAAATGTAAGTATTAGTTATGCGTATTAGTTATGCCTATGGTTTCAGTGCATAATTATGTACAAATAATCAATATTTAAATAACACCAAATATTCTTTATGTATGCCGTATGGGTTAATATTATTTCAGTTTACAAAAATTATTTTTTGCATTTAAATTAAATGTTGTTATTTACGTACAGTTGTCTTAATGAATATTTCCATATAGGTACCATTGAATCACCTTCAAATAATATAATAATATAAACATGAAATCATTTTTTTTTTTTAACTTATAAATAATATTTTAATATAATTATTATTGTTTGATATTCTATTTTGAATAATAATAAACAATAGTTTAATTATTCATTGGCTTCTTAATTCTATACGTCATGTTTTCAAATTGTATACTTAATTATGTTTTCTTTTAATACAATTATAATAGGTATAGGTAAAAAAGTACCACTATACATTTTGTCAAAGTATTTATATTATTATGTTAATTTAAAAAAATCGAAAATTAATAGATTTTTTGAATAAAGTTCAATTTAAATTGAAATCAACACAAGGCGGTATGTCGTAGTGTTCGTTTATTTTTCAATTACGATAACACTACACCGCAAAAACCACATTATACGAATTTCTGTGGATGTCCCCAGCTGTTGTACTCCCAGTTTGCACTTAAATTATTCCAGTCAAACCCCTCAAAAACCATCTAAAATCCAATGCACTTTTCTAACAGGTCATTATTTGTGTAAAAAAATAAAGTAATGGACAAATTAAAGCCGAAAATTGACATTTAGATAAAACCACAGAAATCAATATTTACTACAAACTACATATTTATAATGCATACAAGGAATAAAAAATGTCACAAAGTTGTTAGATATTATATTATTATTTAAAAAAAAAAATATATTACTAGTATGTTTTTATAATGCTTGTACCTATATATTTTATTTTGAAAGGGCAATAGTGTAATATGGTCTGCAATGCATATGTTTAAAATGTTTTTTTTAATAATTACTACTAATTTGTATGAATTAATTTATAATTTAATTAAAAGTTAGATTGATATTGTTAATTATATTTTATTTTATTACATATCTATGTAATATAGTTATATTGATTATTGACTTACTATTTTAATTATTTTACCAATGCTGATTTAAATAGCTAAATTTACATTTGTACCTAAAAATCTAACGAATAAAGTAAAATAATTTGTAGATGATATTCAACTGCTTCGGTGTCATTTTTATTTTATTTTGCTCTTATAATGGTTATAAAATTTTAAGGGTAAAAAAGGTTCAATTAATAAATAATTGAATTATTTCTCTTTTCAAGTTCAATACAAACTACAACGAATTTTACATTGGTATTTCATTTAGAATTTTTAAATTAAATTCTACAACAATTTATTTTTAAAAAAGGACATTAAAAATGTAATCGTTTAAAATAATAATAATGCTTGATAACATAGTACTAAAAAACATTAAATATTGATACTTTTAATACCAGCTACCTAATTTGCATTATAATTTTATAATCAACATTTTTTTTTTTTTTTTATATTGATTTTTATTATTATTAGGACTATTTTAGTTGTTTACATTAATACATTATATTTTTTTTTTTGTTTTGGGTAACAATTTGATTAAAATAATTTAGGGGGACTTTTTAACTATTTAACTCTTAAATGTATATTTCTCCATTTCGATGGTCCTGAGGAATGACGTGACGTTTTTTGCTGACAGTCGAGTCCAATTATTTCATATAGGTTCATTGGTATTTGGTATATTACGTTTTTGTCTTCCTTCTTCATTTTAATTAACATTTTTACTTGATACCCAAATTATTTAAGAACACAAATTCAGTATAAATGATATATTTTATTATATTAAATTGATTTTCTAATAAGTATAACGATTTTTGCAGTAGTTAATGCACACTAGGCATATAGTTCGATATCGGCACGAGAAAAAAATGTTAACAAAGGAAATATATTTCTTGAAAAATCGACGAACGTCAAAAACTAATTACATTAGGAGTGACTTTCTGAAATAAGAAAATAATTTTATAATAATACCGGTCTGATTTTGTCTGAAAAATTACCAGTCCTACGAAATGCGTATCGGAAAAAATACTGTCGTTTTGAGTTATGGGGCAATTAGCGAATGAAAATCGACTTGCCATTTCTCTCGTATTTTTTTTCCATCTGAAAAAAAACTTTAAACAAACTACGGCTTAAATTTATTTTCACTTTCCCAACGTGCGTACGTATAACTTGATATAACATTACAATAATAATAATAATAATAATAATAATATAATGTCGTTAGTCTCCTACCGGGTTATCGATAAGACACACACACACTCTCTCGCGGGCGCAAATAATATTATACACGCTCGCGGTTCATACCGATCGACATCTGTTAACCATATCGGGTTATGTATTTATATACCCAACGGGTCGACACCTCATGTCCTCTTTCCTGTCGCGCCACGGAGGTAAAAGGACACGCGTACATAATAATATTATAGGAACGGACCTGCGGCGGGATCGGCAAAAGCACGACGGTGGTTGCATCAGCGGCGGCGGCGGAGGGTGGCGGTGGCTACCACCGTATATATGCGATTTACTTACAGCCCCGGTGGCGGAGGTGAAGGGTTGTTAATGCGCGTTTAGCCGGCGGCAACGACAAATGTTTTATGCGCGTGGACTACGGTTAAATTCAGATTTATTGGCCGCCAGGGCGCAGTTAAAATCGGATATGGCTGGAAATCCATTCGGGCAAATGGCATACCGGGACCACGACGTTCGGGAACGGCGGCCGGGTGGCGGGCAGGGCAGGCACTGTTTTTCCGCGATATCGAACGGTATATTATAATGCAATAGTGCGGGAGGACGGGCTCGGGAAGAAAAATTGTTTTATGTTTGTATCCTCCCCCCTCGTCCAACACCAAATAAACAATAACAATACGAATATTTTTTGTAATATTGCTGTATTATAATTCACAGGTTAATTGAATTGGGAAAGTTTTTTTATTATTATTATTATTCTTTTTTTACCTCTGGCAAACATTAAAATAATATTATAATATTGAATTGTATGTACGCGATTGGACAAAAAACAATCGTAGTATAATTATATCCAACTAAGGGATGAGACAAGAGACGATTTATAGATGTAAACTTTACGGTCTAGAAGAAACGACGCCGTTGCCATCGTCTTTTCGTAGATAGGTACCGACCGACTGGGACGTGACGATAATTTTGTGAAAGCCCCGGCTAAAGCTGAATAATTAACGCATCGGTAAGTTTACATCGAACGGTCTGAGAAGGTGATAACATTATGGCGGTAGAGGTGGAACGTATTTCGTGGATTAAATATTACTTTAAACAAAAGAAAACGATTTCGTATCTCTGGAAAATATTGAACCGGACTGATAAAACAAAAATAATTAGGGCTGTGAATGCACTATAAATATTCAATAAATGCAATTAAAATATCTAAAACTGCATAATATTAAAATACAATAAAAATAATGAAAAAGAATTATATATGAAAAATATAACCAAAAAAAAAGAAAAAAGGAAGTTTAAATTTAAATTTGTAGTTAAATACTTTCAGTTAAGAAAACTTTATTTTCCAAACGCTAAAAACAAATTCACTTCATATTTTAGCCCTCATATAATTCGTATAAGTGTGGACCGTGGTGTAAATTAGATAATAATTCATAAAATATATGTAATACAAGTTCATTGACAGAAATTTATAAAAAAAATCATCATGAAATGCAAAAAAAAAAAAAACAATTTAAAAAAAAATCTTCAAAATAAATGTTTCAAAACTGAATTCGTTGTTATATTACTCGTCAAACTTTCAGTTAAGAAAGCTACGTCTCGATTAGCTAAGAAAAATACACTTTGCTACAATTCCACAGCCTTAATAATAATAATAATAATAAAAAAAATAATAATAATAACATAATAATATACAGAACGTCAAAACAGACGCGGATAGGCGACGAAACTCCACGCTCGGCTGGGTACTTTCTTGGTCCTACAGACGGGAATTATTACTAGGGAACTCGTATTGCTCCGCGTAACCATGGTCGATGATGTGCCGGACGGTGCCGGAAAGGATTTCGGTGATCTTCTCGTCGGCCGCGTCGATCCGGGCGACCAGCAGGTCTTCGACGGTCGTCTTGTCGTCGTCGTTGTCGATGTCCAACAGCTCGCGGGGGTTATCGTTGATCATGTTCGGCACGGCGAACAACAGGTGTGCGTAACCGTATAGCGCATGAAACCTAAGCTCGTGGTGCAGCTGCTCTGCGGTGGGCGCCTTGACGTCTGCCGGCAGCACGGCTGCCACTGATTCCAAGTACACGGCCAGCAGGTCTTCCCACCGGTTGTCCTGCACGTCTTTGTCCGCGTTCTTGTACAGGAAATAGGACAAGTCTAGTCCTGGTGAACCGTACCTGTTGGATGTTTAAAACCCAAAATAGAAGTTTATCCATTACAATAATTATTTACTAGAGTTGTGTTATAATGCGAAACGATAACCCCCGTTAAGGCGGTAAGCACTAGCTTATTATGAAAACGTCAGGATATATAGTTCATGTTTGGTTTGGTTGTATTTTATTTCCCCTCTATATAATTCCACTAAAGCCTTGTTTCCCGGTTTCAGGGGAAAAAATTACGGTTTTCCATTATAAAACGCATTAGCTCTATCCGTAAGTCATGTAGCGTCATCAACGCCGGACTTAAGATTTTAATTCCTCTTTACCGTTCCTCAGCCGGGTTGACTTACTAACTTCTTTCTAGAAGGCGTGCTCTTCATAATATAAGCCACACAAAAAGGTACGATATATATAATGTATACGGATCGAGACAAAAAATATTCTACAAAAATAAAGTTTCTAATAGAATAAAATATAATCAAGCATCTTAATCTCTTTAGGTTAATATTAAATCAAATTAATGGTAGGTATAGGTCCGCTAGAAATCCTAAGCCGAGGGAAAAGTCTAATGGTTTTTTGCATCGCGTTAACAAAAAAGAAGACATATTATTATTTAGTTTTTAATCAGAATAAATATAATATGTAGGTACTATCCATTTAAAATATTGTACGAAAATAAGTGACCTATTATCGATGAGGCACTCTGGGGCCACAATTCCTCCGAAATGTCAGGTTTCATTTTTATATTAAAATTTGTTAGAACATACTTTCTGCTTGTACAGCATATTATTATTTATTTATATTATATACAGGTATAACTCAATTTAAAATATGTTAAGGCGAAACAGACAAAATAAGGTTTAGCAAATTTAAATATTTGTAAAAAGTAACAATAAAAAAGTATGAAAATTATATTGAAATAATATAATAATAGTAATAACAACTTATAAAAGTACATTACTGTTATTTTTCGTGTAATATTCAGTATCGTATAAATTTGAACTTCGAATACCGATAAAAGAAACTATGTCCAAGTATTTCTGATATTTTTAAATACTGTAACACTAATTTATGAGAAACCTAGTAGGTACCTATAATTTCTCTACGATTACCTATTTGTCAAAACAAAAAAACAATACCAAAATAAAACGTATACCTACTCTTTTATTATTTTTATTTTATATTCAATACCAATAATAATTTCTATATAGGTACTTTACTCCAACTTACAAGGTTGATAAGTATATTTTAATACCTAAACGTTTTTACAAAAAAAAAGTAATATTTTATTTCGATTAATTTTAGTGTACCTATAATATGATTATCATATTAATAGTTAGGTATATACTAATATGTGTCATTTAGAAACAAATAAAATAGTAATTTGATTTTTGCGTTGATAAAATTCCCCACAAAATCGTAATTTTTAATGTGCCCATTCGACCGTCATAAACATCAGTATAAATTGATGGTTGTCATAATACGCACATAAAAAAACAATATAGTAACCCTTTTTATGATTTTCATCATCAAATAAAAAAGTCATAATAATGGTCATTATTGTAGTACTTAATTGTTTGAGTTTACGCTCTGAATGTACTATTTATAGTAAATGTACTTGTAACTGAATTATAGCAAAAAAAAAAAAAAATTCTAAATCAAGTTGACTCTTTCAATCAATGAATTATTACTACACAAATATTGTATGCTTAGTATTATATTATTAATATTTACATAAACTAATATTATAGGTACCTATATAATATTGAAGACATATTATATGCATGGTAATGTAGTTGTAAGTATTACATGGATAGTTAAATAATAAACACATAACCATTAATAATTTTAACTACAGCATAGATAATAATAGTATAGGTAGATACATAACTCAAATTAAATTTGCATAAATACCTATGTCAAAAAAGAAAAATATACATAACATGTATTATTATTTATTTGTGTCACTGTATTTAAAGTTTTACAACAAACTGAAGGACTTCGAGAAAATGTATGAAATATTTTGTTTATTGTTATTGTTCAAAATATAGAATACACACAATAAATAAATGTATATTTTACAAAAATAATACAATTGTATTATAAGCATAATATGTAATGTTGATTTTAAATTACATAAATTACTTGAGAATGAAGTCAATCGTCGGCGATGCTCTCGAAGGCATACATCATATTATAATGTTATTTGATGTATTCAACTACTACTAAAGTCTGTACATAAAGTTAAAACTATATGAATGTAAGTAGGTACTGTTTCTAAAATTAAACTTAAAAAAACACATATTAGTAGTGATCTTTTACATTTAAATAAATCCGAATATCCACAATATTTGATATCTAAAGAAATGTCACTGTGTCTACGGAGATCGTAGGGAGTGTGTTTCTTTTATCAGTAAAAAAGGATATTATCATAATAATATCTCTAACCTCCAAGGAGCACAAAGACAATAATTCATGACATGTAAAAGAAAAAAAACCAAACTGTACCCGGGGTGTGAATATCTTTGTACGATATATTATTATTGTTATTATTATGTTCTTGTATGTTTTTCTGGCACAGTCCCGCGCCAATTCGCACTGTAAAAATTGATTTATTGAATAAACGTTGTGCACGATTTAACGCCTAGGACGCCTTATCTTTTCTTCACATTCGGAGGGTGTTTTGGGTTACATCCGTAACATATGTTTGTATAATATAGGTACAGTATAATAGTCTATCAAAAATATTCGGGGAACGGTGGACAAATTCAAGGGCGGAGCTGATTAATGTTCTGTCGCGAACGTTTATGCGTACATTTTTTTTTTTTTTTGTACAAAGGCAAACTCAATTTATTGATCGAGTGAAGGTGAACCGATCTTGGGAATTATTAGATTGTATGGATTTCTTAAGGGCGTGTTTTTCGGTTGTTATACTATACCTATTATTGTGAATTTGTTTGGGTAAACATTATTTGTTAATAAAAAATATTTATACAATAAATATTATTAATGATTAATCGTTTTAGATAAATAATCTCGTTTTCATCGGTAAACGTAAAATTTGTGGTAATACCTATATTTCGTACAATGGAAATGTTTATAGATATTTTTTAATCTTGGTTAATAAAAAAAGTACAGAGTTTATGCTAAATAAAACGGTTTGTTAGACGTGGACTTATGTCTACACAACATTACATTTATCTTAATAATTCAAGTTCAAAAATTAAATTGCTATGATACAATTATCTGAATTTACTTTGCCATTACGTTAAGCATTCCTAAAATTGTTAATACAAAAGTTTCTAATGACCGATTTGATAACACCACAATACTATTATCAATGTAATATAATATGTAAATTAAATTTGAATAGCTGCATAAAAATTAAATAATAACTATTATACACGATGCATGTAAAATGTAAAATAATATAATATTTACTATATTAAATTAATTTCTCATCATAGTTCATTAAATGTATTATTAATAACCAGCTGCAATAATCAATAATATTTAAATATATTATAAAGGCCAATTTTATTATTTAATAGTAACAATTAAATTGTATTGTGTATAATGTAATTTCAAATATTACTATGCCGAATCGTATTGTATTTGGTTGATGGTTATTTTATTATTGTGCATATGTACCGTATTAATATTATGTAAATTAATAGCATAATTCGTTTATAAAACATGATTGACGTGTGTACGTATAATTGTTTTAACATTAACTTCAATGTTTTGTTAAAAACATGTAATTAAAAAAAAACAAAAAGAGAGAAAACCGTCTCATTTCAGAGAGAGAAAAATCTGCCTCCGTTGTATTTGAATTAAATAATCTTTTTAGTTGTTCCATTGTGTGACTAAACAAAATAACTGGGTTGATTAAGCTATATGAAATACGATTTGCATCGGCTTAAAAAGTTCTTTTTTTTTCTTTTTTTCTTTTGATATACCTGTATGTAAATCTCTATAGGCTTATCCGTTGGAAAAATTCTCTATTGCTATCGCAACTCCTTCCCGCTGCAGTGTTTTGTGGCACCTACCACACGGTATGCATAATATTATATTACCATATAAATAAGTTTTGGTAATACTATTAAAAAAAATTTAAACCAAATTGATTATATACTGCCAGTCGTATACGCGGGAGGGTAATCAAGTGGTGACACGTTGAATGACTTGAAACGAGTGTTATCAGTCGGCCATGTACAAACATAAAAACATACCTACATATTTCATATTATAATACAACACGCAGCATACTTTTTAGAGAGTATTGACTGTAGATACAAATTTATTCTTAGAGGATTTTAATTACAAATTTTTAAATTATTAATAAGTGAATAATATATTTCTTTGACCGTGATGAAAACAATTTGTCTCACAACGACCTACGATTAATTCTCGTTATCGCACGACAATAATTATAAATTATAATATTATAATAATAACAAAATATTTGATATAATTTTTACTGTATGAAATAAAATAAAACGCAATAGTTGCATTATAGAAAACGCACAAAATATTAAAATAATAATGAATTATAAAAATATTTAATTTAAAATTCGGATTGTTCGATGCCTACATAGGACATCCGTTAATTCCGGTCGAAAGTCTCGAACAGTCAAAAACTCCACTATAATAATAGATGGGCACCCGTGGCCAGGTTGGTGTGAGGTAGGTAAGTACCTTAAACCTGTTTGATTGAGTTATGTGAAATACGATTATCGCTCGAGACGCCAACCAAAAGTAGAAAAAAACGTCGACTTTAGACGTGCAAGCGTAGGTGTGCTCGAAGACAATAATACTATTATTAATATAAAATAACAGTTGAGTACACACTCTATTATAGTTACCTGACGGCTGTGAACTCAGTGATCATGGCGTCCCGTGGCTGTCCGGCGTCGTCGTACTCGAACAGTATGTTGGGCTTGCAGTAGTCGCCGTGACAAATGACCGCAAACGGTTCCTTGGGCGTCATCGCCAGCTTGAGGTTGCGGTCCGCCTCCCGAATCATGGTCAGGAACCCCTTGAGCTTGCCGTCCCGGTACTTGTCCTGGTCCATCAGTGGCCGGGCGCCACGCATGCTCATCGACTTGAGCCCGTTTCCTTTGACCAGCCATCCGTCCTCGTCCCACTGGATCTCGCGCAGGTTGCCGACCAGCTTGCGGAACGCCACAGGGTTCTTCTGCTTGGCGGTGAACGACATGCCGTGGAACCGGCCGAGCGCGGCGATGGCCACGGCCAGGTGACCGTAGTCCATGTGCGCGCTGCCAGCGCCGGCCACGTGTTCCGGGGTTCGGGCGGGCACGTAACCTTGGCCCCTCGGGTCTTCCAGCACGATGACGTCCTCCGACCACCGGGCACCGCACTCGTTGCGGCCGTACACGAACACGGGGAGCGAGGGCCCGCGGGCCCCGTCCGGCAGGTGTTCGAACAGGAACGGCACCACATTCTGGTACGCGTGCATCTCGTTGTGGAACTGCCGGTCGGACTTGAGCACGGTGCGCAGCAATTCAACGGGCGGCTTGAGCTTGACGGTTAGCCGGGTGTCCGTGGCGGCTTGCGACCCGCTGCCGGCCGGCACGGTCAGCCGCCCGGACGCCACGACCGACGACAGCCGCTGCGTCTGTTTGGGCCGGGACGCGTGCCGCGGATCTCTGTCCGGGTCGAACGCTGCCGGCCGGTCAGCGGTCGCGCCGTAAGCCCCGTCGGCCGTCAGCACGTCCGACAGCCACAGCTTGAGCGATTCACGGCTAGTGTTCATCGCGTAGTTCGATCTGCAGTGGCAATAAAATATGACGTGTCGAGCGTTCGTCCGACGTCGTCGAGCGATGATCGTCGATTGCGCTAGTCTTGCCACTCGACCGCGATAACGAGCGAAGTGTCGATGTGTGCTCGTTTTATCATCGTATTTTTTTATTATTATTCCCTAGCCACTTATTTGTCCCGACACTCAGATAGCGTCAAATGTTTACCACTAGTGATAACAATGCCGCCGCCCGATTGTATTTTGTCTCCTACCGTACGGTATATGCATCATATTTAGTAGCTTTTTATAGTACATGATATTTTTCCAGTCTCTAATTATATTATATACCTAGATACGCAAGGTTGAAGCTATGATGACGACTCTGACGTATTGTACAACAAGCATGATTCTCTTGCACCTAACCCTGATCGAGCGATCTGCAGACATTTGTCGTGATAATAATATGTAACCCAACGCTTCACGAGTGCATTTTATTTTTTTGGAAATCAAAACCTATCGATCGAGCACCCGTCCCACGTGGGAGACGCGGCGTTGATCATATGTCACAATACCTATGTGCCAAAACGTGTGTAAAAAACTACTCCAAAAAATGTGTGCCCTCAGAAGCGCCACATTACTCCAGAAACTCTGTTAAGTTCTAAGGCAAACTCTCATATAATATAGTGACCGGTAATAAGACAGTGGGTCAAATGTGATTTTTTCGTCCATTCGTTCGAATCATTAATAAAATATATTTAACTAGCATTTCTGTTTGTTTTTTTTTATTACCACTTGCAGTCGTACGATTTAAAATTAGAACGTATTATCAATTGACAAGTACCTTTGTGAATTGTTAAAAACACGATAAGAATAATATTATTATTTTGTTCAATTATCGACTCAAAGCTATTAATTTTATAATTGATGGTATTCTAATAATTTATATAATACACATAATATCTTATTATGAATCTAATAGTAGTTTGTCATCACTTTTTATACGTCATAGATTTAGGTACATATTATAATAATGTTTATCACTCAAAAAGCTATTTATTTTTTGTTTCATAATAAAACATTTGTATTTTGTATGATATAAGCAATTATAAATTATAATATGGGACGAGGTGGCCGAGCGGTCGAACACGTCGTCTGCGGAGCTGGCGGTCGCGGGTTCGATTCTCTCGTCCACTGGGCGGCATTTTTCTCCGGGCAAGTCACGGTGTCCGGAGAACAAGTGCCACCATCCCCCACTCCGGGGCACGGCAGAAACCTACGGGTGCCCCAATAGAAATTCTGCCAAACACAACACACACGTGTAATAACCCTACAATTTCAAACCCTACTACTTACAATCATAACCCCACAATCAGCTAATGGCCATAGTCGCCGGGCTTCAAAAAGATCAATTAAAAAAAAAAAAAATTATAATATATAAAATAATGTAAAACCCAAGTATTTTTACATGAAGTGAAAATAGTTTATAAATTATAATACATTATACATACTATAATACTGTACACTTGGAGTCATTGAATTTTTTAACCGCAAGTACACATTTTAATATTTCATTGCGTTATTACAAAAAATTATGTACTGAATAATGAAACTGAAAAACTTAGTTAAATTAGTATATCTATTTTTTTGTTAATGATAACAATATTTTACACAATATTAATATTTTATTTGTAGATACAGGTAAAATATTAAATTAATTCGATAACACATTCATGTTATGCTAAAACTGAGAATAATAAAAGCTATTTTCGAATAATACATAATTTAAGTTTAAAATAATTTATTATTATGTATTTATATTTTATATTATCATCATAGAAAATACAATAACAGATAATAGGAGAATGCTACAATCGATATATTATATTCAATATTCAAGGTCTTATATTATTGTCTCAAGCTCTTGATAAATTATGAAACCGTAAACGTGTTAAATACCTATATGAATATTGTCCGAGTACCTAAATAAATCATGGTTCTTTTTTAAATAACTTGTGTATGCAAATTGTATATTTTAAATTTTTGATAAAACATACCTAGTAAGTATCTGCATATTTTCAAATTATATTGTTTACAATTTATGGTTACAATTAAATATTAATAGGTACAATAAGTAATTACCACTACAATAATAAATTACAGTAGGTTTTGTATTTTATTGTGACACATTTCATCATAGACCAATGGGATTTTAGGAGTCTTACAGTTGTTATGACATTAGAATATTATATTATTATTAAATTAGATTGATTAATTCATTATTAATTTAATTAAGAAATGTATTAGTTATCACTTATCACAAATAAAATATTTATTGTGTTAATAAAATTACCATAGTTAACGTATCCACTATGCAGGTACATTATGAAAGGTAACTGACGTGGGACAGAAAGTCAACCAGCAATACAAACAAATTCTGGCAAATTATCAAATTATAATTGAGGCCTTTTTTTTTAAGTGTCTGTATTTTTAAGTTAATTTTGATTCTATGTTTAAGTGCAGACTGGATCAAAAATTAACAAAAGGTTATTTTTATTTTTTATTTAATATTTCAATACTTGTTATATGTATATTTATAAATTAAATTAAGTTATGACTATCTAAGAGTTAATCATCAATATAATTAATATATATTATCTATATATAGGTAGTACTAGTATAAATAATTATTTTTTATACGAAAATAATGTAAAATACTAATAGTTCATACTTTATTTTAAAAACCAAGGATTACAATTATTATTATTTCAAATATATCAAAGTTAATAATTTAATATTTATTATAAAAAAAACAAGCACTTAAAGATAAGATATAACTCAAATAGTTTTAATACATTAAATTTGTAGTAATACAACAAAATAATAATAAAAAAAAATTAAATTATTAGAATTTACAAATGCTACCAAACTACTTCATCAATGAACAGTATTCTATGAAATTGAATAAATATTCATATTTGTTCAGTATTGTACAAATCCGTTGTATATAAGACACTAAATAGATATCACAAACAATGGATATTATGTATTTTGTAAATAATCAAATAAAATGGCATGTGAGTCGTGAGTGTGAACATCAAACTACAATGTGACGTATCGTTCACCGTTTTGATCAGATTATGCTCCACATTCGTATATCACATGTTGAAAGAATGCTGAAACAAAAACTCAGTAGGTACGTGTTCTGTTCCACTGTCACCGAATAACTGAATAACGAGTATAAATAATAGTATAAATCGTACGATTAAAAGTTTTTACAAAAAATTGCTCTTAATCACATTCTTTTGTAAATATCTAAAAATAGTACTATTGGTGCTTGATTACGTGTGAAATATATAAAAATGTGTTACACAATGTTTTTGACCGTTATTAATTATTAAATAAATAAATTGTTTAAAATATACCTAGGTTATAAATTTTATGCGATACTAGCTAATCCCGTGTACTTCGTTACTCGTTAAATGTACCTACTCACTGTATGTGACTCAAACTTTGTTCAATGCCTTATTTAATATTCGGTCTATGATGGTCTAGATTTATCTTAACTTTTCTGTTTTCCGGAATAAAAATTCTTATTCTCAGCAGTATATTATCAGATAGGCAATCTACCTGAGGTAGAACGCTGACCCCGTGCTGTTTGCACGTAAGTATATGATTTAACTCAAAATTATCAAAGCTATACCAAGTTTGTCGTTTTTACTTAATTCCACCTACGGCGGATTAATATAATCAATTAATACAAAATCCTAACCTAACCTAACCGTACTAAAATCCGAAAAAAAACCAAATTTAACACTTTTTAAATTAGCCTATCTCCTTTTTAGAAGTCTATAATCTACACACAAACATTCATTTATATATATCAGTCCTAGTTACATTACGGCTTTGTCGTGAAGTATTTAATAGTCTTGGGCGTGGCATAGTATTGTTAATGAGCAGGGCTTGGATTTACAAGTATTTATATAACCAAAGTATGTATTTACACAACAACAAAAAATGGCTCTGCTGTACAGTAGGTCACAAGTGGGTCACTGTATGATGGATGGTATTACATTCGAATTCAATAGCATATAATTGTATAAGAAAAACGATTCTGAGCGGAGACGGTATGTCAGTCTAGATATAAGACATAATATTATATACTTATCTAAGGTATTAAAAAAAAATTGACCTACAAATAGGAACCTATAATAAATTCCAAATTAATCATATCACAAAATTCATTAGGTACTTATAACGCGTTATACATCAACAACAGACAGTGATACTATCATATGTAACGAGACAGAAAGTACACATCTATGTTTTTGTAATATATGATAAAGAATTCAAAATAATATGTATTATAAAAAAAAAAAAAACTGGTAAGTGGATGTCGCTGTTTTGTACAGTAGGTACAAGTTGGTCATTGCATAATGGATTATATTAAACTTGAATTCAATGATATAATATCATTGTATAAGAAAAAAACGATTCTGAGCGGAGACGGTTTGTCAGTCTGGATATTTTATATTGTTATTATTTATTATATCATATAAGTTGAATTAATATTATAATATTATTATTTTCATTTGTTTTAATGGTGATAAACAAATCGTTAGAAATTAAAATCCTTTTATTAGCGGTTTTTTGTAATTTTTCGGTGGTTTTTCAAGTGGCATTAAAAAACTATTGATAAAATCGGAAAATTACCCGTTTAAAGTACCATCTTGATCCAATTTGTTAAAAGATAAGGTACTATATATAATATATATATAGAAATCGAAGCACTCCTTCAGGTAGATATGTTGTATACAGGATATAAAAAATAAACACCATTGTAAAACCACTAGCTTCCTCGCTCCGCTCAGAATCTAAAATGATCAATTTCTAGGGATTTTTCACAATTAGTACAATACAAAATGTGACCGTCACTTTGTAAATGTTCATTTGGATATTCAGAAACATATTTTATTGCTTTGCAAGTTTTAGTTGGCATTATTGGTATTTGGTAATATACACGTAAAATATAACGAAAGACACACTACGATGTCACAATAAAAAGTACACACCTATCGCAGTGTTCACTCGTTCGTGTTTAACGTATTTAAAAATCAGTTAATCGTAATACATTAAGATAATATTATATCTGATATTTCAATTGATAAATCGTATCTAGAAAAAATTTAAAATATAACAGGTCGAGTGTAATGGTCGTTTATAATCGAGGATCATCGAAGTCAAAAATACGTTCGGCGGACCCCGCCGACCACACGATATTATACTAGTCGTGAATTCTTTGAATAGTTGTGAAATATGTATAAACATGTATTTATGACAAAATATGTAAAGTATGTAAAATCAAATATAGCTTATTTTATCAAAAATATTGTGAAACGAATTTATCACTTGCCTAGCTTATCATGTCACAGAGAAAATATGTATTTACATACAAATCAGAGTCCTATTAATGAGAATATCGGCACAATAAACAAATTCGTACGTAGAAAATGCGGGATTGTGTAATTATAATACATTTATTTTATTTTGTTTTTTGTTTATTTAAATGGTTGCTACTGATTACAAAAAAATATTATACTATTTGAGACAACATATCAATCCACCTGCTATAAGTGCAACTCAGCCACCTTGGTAGACAATGTGCGAAAATTCGATTTGATGCATTCTTGTACCTGATCTGTCCGAATAACTTGTGGCCACCAAAAATAAGTTTAAACGATTTAAAAAAATTAAAACATTATATTATATTAAATATTGAATACACTGATTTCACGGCAACCAATAATTATTATTATAATAGCTTTAAAACCCATGGCAACCATTTATAAACAAAAATTTCCACCTTAAATCTCTATATGAAAGTTTGAGCTCATCCCCTGGTTGGACCTAGAGGGATGATTTGTGAATCTAAACCATGCGGGGCGTCACACAAACACACACAAAAAATTATTTCAAATCGGTCTAACCGTTTAAGAGGAGTTCAGTCACAACACACGTACAGTAGAATTATTTATATAAAGTTAATATAATATTATTCCGAAAAAAAAATACTTTTAACATCTCTGTGTTATATTTTAAATGTTTTTGAGTTTAGCGATCGATGGATATCCGAGCGAATTTCAAAACTAAGCTAATGGCACCAGTATCTTACATTTAAAAAAAAAAAAAAAAATTCGAAAATGTTAGTTTTAAATAGAAAAGGGATGGAAATTCTTGATTGATATTAAACTTGAAGGAGTATACAGCACATATTAGAAAGGGTTGATAATATTCCATCACAAAATATGCCTTTGATTCTCAACACAACCAATAGTTGATACTTTTAAGATAATATTATGCGAACAAATAGCAAGGTAACTACCCAAAATGAATTGGTAACAATTAATGTACGCAGAAACCTTTCCTTAAAATAAAAAAGACACAAAATTATAAATACATTGTAGGAATATATGCATATCATCGCTAACCCACGTATGGTATCCAACACTCCTACCGACACCTATAGGCATAACAGATACACAAGTACACGACCATGCTCGTTGGCGATTTATTACAATATTAAAATTATAGCTCTGTAGTTTCGGCACATTCACTTCATTGGCTTGGACTATATTAATAACCTAAGTCGTATAATATTATGTATTTATTTAAATTGTATACCTATACTTATGTCAATACAACCATTAAATAATATAAATTAAAATAATAAAAACAATGTATATAATATAATCATAAAAGATACTTATTAATAACATTAAAAGAACATCAATACAACATCAATACAACATACAAAACTAAGTTATTGTGATCAATACCGAACAACAATGAACAAACTAGATTGCACGTTACACATACGTGTATTTCATGGCGACGATGTGTTGAACCATGTCAGCTACTAATTCCGACCCAGTGTCACCGCCCACCTGTAGAAACCATTCCAAAGATTGTTTTTCATCCATTTCCACATCATAAACTTCATCAGCTCCTTTTATTTGATAGGGTAAGAATAATGATGCATGTGCGAATCCATATAAGGCACACTTGGACATTTCGGAGTCAAGTTCAGCCCTGTTTGGTACGCGGATACCAGGTGGTACGAATTCCGCCAAGGTCAAGCAGTACGCGTTCAGTAAGTCATCCCACCGATTTTCACGCAAATCTTGAGTAGTGTTCATGTACAAGAAAAACGAAAGATCTAACGCCGGCGAACCATAACGAGGCGTCCCGAAATCGAACAGCAATATGTCGACAGGAAGTCCCGCTCCATTGTACTGGAACAACACATTGTTCCGGTTGAAGTCTCCGTGGCACACAACGGAAAATGGTTCTCGGGGATTGAACATACGCATCAGCGAGTTGTCCCCGTCGTCGACTAGATCTTTAAATCGTTGAATGTGTTCGTTGTCCCGATAAAGGTCACCGCTACGTTCAAGCAGTCGGTCAACTCCTCGCTTACCAAGTCTACTTAATGCGTTGTTCTTAAATTTATACTGTCCTTCCTCGTCAAACTGTGTTTCACGAATGTCCATGACAATTTTTCGAATGTGCTCGGGGTCTTTGTGTTTTGCTGTATATGACAACCCATGAAACCTGAAAGTAAAACAAATGCCTAATTATATTTTATTTTCCACTTCATTGAATTATTGTATTATTTATTGGGCTAGGTAGGTACATAAAAATGTTATTCTTACTTTGTTTATTGCAGTTCCTACGTTTGATTATAGTAAAACCTCATTCTCGTTAAATAATAAACGAAAAGTTATATTGTGTATTGAGTGTAATTAAAGACGTACAAACAGTCAAATCATTTGTGAATAAAGTGAATATTTCAGACTTCAATATTTTTACATAATACTGAATTTGTTTTTATTAAAAAGTATTATAATGTTAACTTACTTGGCTAATGCTTGCACCGCAATTAAGAGGTGATCATAGTCGATGAACAGACGTTCTTCGCTCAATCGGAATCCCAGAGGTACGACGTTCTCCAATATTATTAAATCTTTTTCAGCAAACTCGCCGCATTTATTACGACCATAAAAGTATCTAGCCAACGTGGGACAGTCCCCAACACCTCTCATAGAGCGATAACATTCAATTATAAATGGTATAATTTTTTCATACATCGTAATTTCGTTGTGGAATTGAAAATCGATTTTAAACTTAATTCGCGTTTTCTCATCTCGAAGTTTTAACTTAATCACAGCACGATGTTTTGATTCATCAGATGTGGTGACTGTACCAAATAATACTGTTGACATGTACTGATCCTGTCCGACTAGATCCTTGTCCAATTCAAATGATACATACTTGAGATTTTTTCCGAACGCACCATTGCTTACAATTGTTGGCAGTTCTTCTCGCAATAAAGAGTCCATTGCTAAAATGATTGTTTGATCACGATACGTTCAACTTCCTAAATTCTCGTTGAGTACTAATTCAATTTAGCTAATTACAAAATATAATATACTGCGTGTTGTTATCTTTGCACTTCACTTCCAATGCCGTGTATACACACAATCAATATAACTCAAATCATCAGATGTTGTCATTAAAATTATTTTTAGTTTTATTTACTAAGTGTGATAATTAAAATGTATTTAATTTAATCTAATTTAACTGATATTCATATAATTTTAATATAATATTATAATATTATAATTTTAATTTTAATATAATTTTTTTATACTTAATTAATGTATTATTTTCATTTTTAAGAATTTGAATAATAGGGGGCAAAAGTCAACGTGTTTTCCGTTTCATAATATACCTAAGTATTAGGAATTAGGATAATACCAAAACACAAAAAATAGTAATGTAGTTGCCCACTCTATATATTAATAGTCAAATAGGTATAAAATCTACTCATATTTTACGTAATACGTAATACGTCATAATGTCATAATACATACTCAGGATACATATTATAATCTAAAAAAAACTGCAATAGATACCTATGTCATTGTTTAAAATACATTTATAAGTGTGATTTGATTGATAGTAAAATTTGATTATCTCATAATTATTTTTAAAATATTACAAGGTATAAGAGCTACATTATTGGAATAACATTATTTATCTGCAGTAGATGCATGGTAGTAACAAATTAATATTATTAACTAGGTATATAGAACCCGTTCTACCATGACCAATGTCAGATTAGAATCGTTTGACGTAAATTGATTGTGAATAAGACATCGATATCGATCATAAATATTATGTAATTGACTAATTTAGTAGATATTCAAATGTATACGTTGATTATAAGTTATAACGTGTGTATTATATGCTTGTCGTTATATTTACGAAAATTGACTGGTGATCAGTAATTAAGCATTTCGAAATCAAACAGAAACAAATCGACTGGAAAACGATGGCACACGATGTCTGGCTGCTCGTGGGGATTCATCGCACGTGCCAATGAATAATTGTATCCCTCCCCCAATTAGTACTTTAAATTGTTTCAAATTCTCTTGGTCTCGGTAAAGATCACAGCAACAAACAAGCAGCCGATCGGCAAATAGCCAGTGTTTGAAAATTTCATGAAATTTAAAAAAAATGAAATATTTTATGTAAATATTTCGAATGTGTGAAATATTTCAATATTTTAATAAATTTTGTTTTATTTTTAAATAAGTTTTATATATAACTGTCATAAATTACCTTCATAATTTAGGGGCGACAATCCAAAACGTAGTATTTACATTTTACACTTTTTTGAGAAGTCACGATTTTCCATTTTTCCACAATTTTGGAAATAGTACGTATATATATTTAATTCAATTATATTCGCTATCTTCATGCTATGGAAAATATTACATTATGGCCTACTTTTGAAATAGTACGTTTTGTACAATTTGAGGAATTGGTACGTTTTGAGTCAATTTTTCAAATAAACAAACTATTTAAAATGGGAATAATACTACGTTTTAACGTAATTTTGGAAATAGTGCATTTAGACAAATTTTGCTTTGGAAATTGTGCGTTTTGCGTCATTTATGAGTATCGAATTGATTTTAACAATGGAAATAGTACGTTTTGGTTCAATTTGACCACGCCATTCGTTTCCATTTTTACATATTAATCTATGTATAACACTCAACTTTGTCAATTTTGGAAATAGTACGTTTTGAAATGTCGCCCCTCAATTGTATGGTACCTATTGGTATAATACAATATATAAATGGCATTCAAAATTTTTAAATATTTTAATGTTTAAATAATACAAGTAGGTATACAATATTATACATGCATATTATATACCTACTGAATTCTTACATTAGAATTTAAAACACTGAAGATTGTGTTGAAAAAATAAATAAATTGTGTTTTTATTTGTGTTAAAACAATTTTTAATGTTTCACGTTTTTGTGAAATATTTTGCCATGTAGTAAAATATATCAAAATTGTTAAATGATCGATGTTCAAGAGCACTTTCTCATTTCTTAAAGAATATTCTAAAGTACTAACGTTTTCAATAACAATTAAATCATTTGCCATAAATTCACTACATTTATTACGACCATACATAAAACGTGAACAAAATATTGAATGAGCATCATCAAATTTTGGTCCCCGGCACTTCGATAGGAACGGTATAATCTTTTCGCGCGTAAAAAATTAATTCATTATCGAATAGTAAGTCAGATTCCAAAAACCTTGTAGGTGGGAGATGGAGTACCCCCCAAAGTACCAACTAAATTCACTTTCCTATTAGAAAAGATATTGTTGAAGAAAATCCAAGCACTTTTACTGTCCTAAAAGGTGATGACAGACACAGAAAAAAATAAATAAATAGAGTTATCCGGGTAGGCAAAGTGCGACGGGCGACCCACGTCATTAGGTATGCAATAATTAAGTAATAATTATATTAAAATATATTAAGTGCCTACTACTTTGTTATATTTACCGATGATAAACGTTCGGTGATAAGGCCTATCGGTTATGGCGGTATTCTGTTAAAGGCGGGAAATTTTGAAAACCATGATTGCGTGTGTATCAATCAATGTCAATATAACATGTCAATTGTCAGAACAATAAATTAATTAATCAGCCATGTGATTTTATTACCGGCATCGGTTACCTCCGTTGACAATTAACGTCCGAGACGTCCGAGAATTTGTCGACAAACCGTTCTTAAAAATCTGGCTGTCCAACATACAGAATACAGATTTGAAAAAAGAACAACACGTAAGTATATTTTGTATTATTAATTTAATTTGTTGTTTTTTAAAACGTTCAACGAAGATTGTAGGTATTTATCATTCAATATAATGTAACACATGCTTTCCGTTTAACGAATTTAATATTTTACAATAAGGCTGGGCATTAACGAGTCAAAAAGTTAAAGTTAAGTTAAAAAGTTAATTTAATTTTAACTTTTTAACTTAACTAGTTACTTTTGGATTTTCATTCACTTAACTGTTAATTTACTATATTTCTTTATTAATTAACGTGAAATAATATTAATTTAATTATTATATTTCACTATTTCAGCCTATTTTGTTTTCATTTCAAAAAAAAAAGATGTTCAAGTGGGTGTCGCTCTGCTGTACAGTAGGTTACAAGTGGGTCAATGTATAATGGATGGTATTACATTTGAATTTAATGATATTATATCATTGTATAAGAAAAACGATTCTGAGCGGAGACGGTATATGTCCTTCTAGGTATAAGACATATTAATATACATATCTATGGTACTAAACCAAAATTTGACCTATAATAGGTACCTATAAAAAATTCCAAATTAATTATATCACAATATCATTAGGTACTTATAAGGCGTTATACACCAACAACAAACCCTGATACTATCATAGATAAATAGAAGTATACTTTAGAAATTTCAAGTACCCACGAATAATATTATACAATCACAACAAAATAACTAAAATAGTTATTCTAGGTTTTTTATTATGTAATTTCGTCCAAATTTGAATTTAAAATGTCTGTAAAAAATAACTGTGTTCATATATTTTTTAGATTTTTTGGTTACAGTATGAACTATTTACGAGAACCTTTGTTTTAAATTTGCAATCCTTAGCTATGAAAACTGAACATTTTATAATTTATTAATTACAATGTTTGATAATTTTCGAGATTTTGATAAATTTTGTCAAAATTTGATCTTTAAATGGTTATAAAAAAAAACTGTGCCTATGTATTTTTAATATTTTTCAACTGCTATTGTAACAATATACCAGGAGCCTTGTATTAAATTTTCAGACTTTTTGGCCCACCAAATAAAATTTTATTGACAATTATAAAAAAAAAAACTAAAAAAATTGAAAACTGAAAATGTCCGTAAACAGCTCAAAAAGAGTCAAAATCTTTTCAAAATTGTATGGTGTATAGGAAATGCTAATATAAACATTCAGTGAAATTTTCATGTATCTACAGTTATTCGTTTTTGAATTACAACAAAATAAGGAAATCGCTACATGAGAAATCGAGTGAAAATCCAATGTTGTAAAAATTTGAATTTCAAACGCTCATAAAAATTTAATTTGACTGTCCGGTAGAGATTTTTTTATTGATAAAGGTAGATAATCTTATAAGGAATCTTGTGTTTCATTTTCAAATCTTAGATTTAAAAAGAAAAATTTTTACGAATTCTTAACTCAAAATAATTTGCTAATTTTCGTGATTTTTCCATATTTTGTCAATTTTTGAACTTTAAATGCTTATAAAAAAAAATTGTGACTAAGGATTTTTAATATTTTTCATCGACCTTTGAAACAACATATTAGGAGCCTTCTATTAAATTTTCAAGCTTTCGCAACCAACAAATAAAATTTTATTGATATTTCTAGAAAAAAAACTAAAAAAAAATGAAAAATGAAAATGTCCCTAAACAGTTCAAAATAAATCAAAATATTTTGAAAATGTTATCGTGTATAGAAAATGCAAATATAAACAACCAGTGAAAATTTCATGTATCTACGGTCATTTGTTTTAAAGTTACACCAAAAACCAAATTCGATTTTTTGGAAAATCGATTTTGCGTAAAAATTCCCGTTTTTCCTTAATTTTTATGTTGTTTTTCCCGGCGCTTGTGAAAACTACTGGAAAATGTTTACTTTTAACCCCCCAAAGTACCAACTAGATTCACTTTCCTATCAGAAAAGGTACTATTGAAGAAAATCGAAGCACTTTTACTGTCCCAAAACGTGATGACAGACACAAAAATATAAAAATATAAAAATATAAAAATATAAAAAAAAACATACATCATTGTAAAACCAATACATTCATCGCTCCGCTCAGAATCTAAAATATAAAAACATACATCATTGTAAAACCAATACATTCATCGCTCCGCTCAGAATCTAAAAATGTAAAAAAAAACACACATCATTGTAAAATCAATACATTCATCATTCCACTCAGATTCTAAAATTAAATTATAGTTACTTAATAACTTTTTTTTAAATAATAAATAATATCTACACTGACATAATATCAATAATGAGATGACATTTGGATCATTTACAACCATGAGTTTAATATAAAGTTTAAAACTGATACCTATGATCAATATTTAAAAATGTATTATATTCCCGTGAAATTCCCGGTGTTGGGAATTGTTCCAATAGCTCACAATTTCTGGCATATTTTCTCTTATTAAAGAGTCCATTGTTATAGTGATTTATTGGCTCACGTGTGTTCAACTTTCTTAGTCTAATACAGTTGAGTTGGTACTCATTAATTTCAGTTATAATAATATTGTGAAATAAAATATATATTATTATCTTAACACTTCATTTACAATTAATTTATAGTGTATACACCGTAATGAATATTACTGAAATCACCAGATTTCAGATTTGAAATAACGTTTTATTACTTACTAAGAAAGCCCAAATTAGAAGCCTGTAGAATGTTCCTTAAAATCTAAATGTTACAGAGACGGAAACTTGGTGTTTTTAAGGAGTAATAACTAGGCATTTTATATGACAACATAATTTGGTTATCTATGTATGAGATGAGAACAATCTTTGAGATATTGTGTAATCCGTGTTTTCTCTTGTAACACCATCGACCATGATAAGTGTTTATTTATGTTTATAATATAAGCTTACTTACCTACAATAAATGCCTACCTATGCAAAATTATTGCCTATTATCACTTACCATTTTTTCACAAAAATGTCTCGTAATACTTTCACTTTTGCATTACAGAGTATCTCTGATTTAATTTTTTTTTTTTTAAATTTAGTACTAGTATTAACTTTTATTATAATATCATAGTTTTTAAATATATTTTAATTACAATTAATCTGTACAATAGGGCACTTTAGACTTGTGCAAAAAAAAGTATTGCTCACATATATTTTATATTTCAATTTTACGGAAAAATGTTTTTTATTTACAATGTATGATGAAAAAAAAAAACTATGAAATATAACTGTGATAGTCAAGGGAGTCGAGAGGTATATTCGATCGAAAATTTGACACAACCAGTTAATTTAGAAAATATAAATTTACTTAGAATTAATTTTATAATTCAAACATCGAATAAACCCAAAGAGCGAAAACGGATAAAGTTACATTTCTTTAAGTGGCAATGTCTTACAGGAATATTTTGAAGTATAAATATAGTATAATATGCGTGTGTAAAACAGAGGAAATGATTGCGGGATAGTGGCTTACTCTTAACTTAAGCACTGAGTGTATTTGGCACATAAAAGTGAACACGCACAAAACGAAAAGCGGAAGTTTTTAAATTTTCATGACTACGACGGGTCGTTCTGAAATCATTTGTAACTAGATGTAAAACATTATTAAATACATTTTTATGTAAGAACCTGTGGATGTAATGTTTTGAGCATTTCTCTCGAGGAACCAAAAGTCAAAATAAAAAAAAATAAAAATATTTATATTTCATCCGGTATGCAATCTTCATTGGCGACGATGGTGGAAGCGGGTGCCCTGGCGTACTTGCAGTGGATAAAGTGTTGAACGGCGTCGGCGAACCATTCGGTGGCCGGTTCACCACCATTTCTGAGCAACAAACTCAACATCTTGAATTCATCGGCATCAAAGAACTCTTCCCAACCCACCTGAGTATTTTCCTCCAACATTATGCCTGCGAAGTACGACACGTGCACCAGACCGTAGAACCCATATTCTCGTATTTCGGAGTCCAGCTGATCACGGCCCGGCACCGGGACGTCACCCGCAACCGCGGCCAGCGTAGAGCAGTACACATCCAGCAACGTGTCCCAATGATCGTCCAGGGTCCGGCGATCCGCGTTCATGTACAGGAAGAACGACAGGTCTATTACCGGCGACCCGTACCGGATAGTGGCCATGTCGTACGCCAGCGCGTCCACCGGGCGGCCACCGTCGTCGTACCGGAACAGTAGATTGTTCCGATTGAAGTCACCATGGCACAATACGGCCATTGGTTCGACGGGAACGACTATGCGTCTCAACGATTGCATAGCATCAGTCAACAGTTCTGTCTGGAACCGGCTAATCAATTCCACTTCGTTGTCACCACTGCCACCAGCCACAACGTGACGTTCTTTTAGCTTGTCCAAGGGTACCAAAAATAATCCCTGGAGTACGCTGGGATGGAAAAACCACTCACCGTCTTTGGACCATTGAGTCTCTTTCACATCAGCAACTATTTCTTTGAACTTCACTGAGTCCTCGTGCTTTGCCATGTAGGAAAGCCCGTGAAATCTGTGAACAGTTACAAGTTTACAGTTTTATGAAAATATCAGTCGTTTCAGTGTAGTCTAGAATGATTTTTCTGAGGTAAGGCATCACCTTGAAATCTTTTACAAAATACTGTAAGACCCGATGTCAATTATTATAACAAATCTTGGTCTGCCAGATCCTATTAGGTAATTATAAAATAGTTAGGCTTGACTTTAAATTAAAAATTTCCAAGTCTGAAACATTAAGGCTTAGCTACGAGCTTAAATTTGTATATCCATAGTACCCGCTGTTATAGGAGTAATGAATAAAGTTTTCATGTATTCAAGTAGTTTGATATTTGTTTTTTGAGATAACACTTTATTAATCCATACAAATAGTAGAAGATACTTAGATACATGAATATTATAGAATTGAAATGATATATGACAATAATTTAGTTACAATATTATATTGAATTGGTAATTTGTTTGGTTTAATTGATAGTCTATTAGGTATATTATGTTATGAACTTATGAATTCTATTTACTCCGATTACGGTCAAAACAATAACACGAAAATATAATATATTGCCTATATCATAATATTATATTGTAAATGAAATATTTAAGAGTATAATATTATTTTATATAAATTTGTTGGAGTTTTGGTGAAACAGTATATTATTGCTTAAATATATTTTATTTGTTTGTAAATCAATGAAAATTGTATGGATTCATTTATATATGTAGTTAAAATATACTTGTCATGATACTTAAAATATTTAGATGATAAAATGTATTGTACACATATAAAATCATAAGAAAAAATTAATGAAAATATATGACAAGTTTGGTACATTTTTTAAATTTAAAACTTGATGATTTTTATGTCATATCATTGATTATAAATAAATTTAAAATGTGTGTTATATCCTAAATTGTACGGTATAAGTTAATTATTGTCATCGCCAAAAAGTATATCAAGGTATAGTTGTTATTATAAGTCTATAATTGGTAAAAAAAAAAAAAAATATTATAAAATATAAATTATTGCAAGTAGAAATTATACAATTAAATATTAATAATAGTATTAATTTAATTTACAATATTAATAATAAAGGTATCTAAAGTTAGAAAATAGATAATTACTTTCGAATTACAGTATATTGTGCTGTTATCTGATTTTAATAAAAAAAAACCACATGATATCGAGCTAAATCTGGAGTTATAAGCTTATGCTGACGATTGAAAATAAGGCATAAATAAAATACAATTCAATGTTTATAAATAGGAAATAAAAATCACAAGCACTTCGATTGCCATCCCAACGTCCAATGTAGTAAATACTAACTCGGAATATTGTGGTTTCGTAAGTGGTCGTCAATTATAAATTATAAGTTATAAATAATATTTATTTTTATGAAAAAAAATGCCCTGCCACCTTCTGCCGGAAATAATTTCTGCACAGTGTGTTGTATTTGTATATTACAGTGAGCTACTGAGCTATCTATATTATCTATATTTAATGCTTATATTATTACATAATATTTTATATTTAAAATAAAAAAATCTTGATATTTTCTCCACTGCACGGGAAAATAATGAATCATAATATTATGTTGAAGTCTTTGGTGATCACTGTTTAAATATCTTAAATATCGCTCACAAAATTCTTATATGTCAATAAATAAGGTTTAGACAGTTTTGCAAAATATGATAACTAATTACTGTTTATTTATATTATTTTAATGTTTAGTAGCAATTTAATATTAAAGAGAAATACGGAATCGTTAAGAAAATAATCGATATATTTGAATAACGATTGCTGGATATTGATTAATCGATATAATTGTAGTTATAGTTTAATTGCCAACTTCCTAGCTACTTAAAGGGTCAGAAAAAACAATGTCAAATCTCAGCCTAAAACACATATTTGTTAAAAAAAATGAAATTGACATGTCTTAAAATGTACAACTTATATCAAAGAACCAATTTGATCCCCATCAAAATCATAATACGAGTAGATCATAAAATATAATATAATATAATCCTAAATTCAAAATATTAAAACATTTAAGTACGCATACATTTTTTAGTTAGGTTAATGGTTAGACATTTTAAATAATTGACTGTAAGTATTGTTATTGCCCCAGTTAATAGTTTGATTAGTCATGCCGTATTATACAGTACATAATGGTATTATTTTATATATTATTATATAAGGATTCAATATTACAATTGATATTTTTTTACATTTTTATAATGTTAGTTTATGTTAAAATACTTCTAAATATAAAACATAGGTGAGTTATTGTATATAATAAACAATCATAGAATCGCGATAGGCTTCTATAGGTCAAGTAATAAAAATAACAATAATAATACAAGAGTCTCAAAGTAAATAAAAATAATGTTATACATTTGTGTTGAATATAGAGGACTCTTATTAACATAAATCAAAGTATTTAAAATTAGTAAATGTGTATAAAAATGTATATTCGTGAATTCGTTGTGTTTTAATTACAACTATAATTGCCATGTAACAATCATCATTTTATTATATATTATATTTTAATCACTTCATTAATAGATTATAACCTATCATTAGTAGGTAGTACGTAGAAAAGTCTATTATAGATATTAAATTATTATATAATATAAAATATCAAACTTTTATTTTTGGTTTTATTAATATGAATTAAATATTGGTATCATTGTTAAAATAGTTTTGATAGTAATAATAATAATATCGTTATTATAAATTAAAAATTGATCAAATTTATTAGACTGCGCAGCAGTGTATCTATTGATATTTTAACTTACACATTTAACATCACTCTGATTGTTAATTAATAATAAATCAAAGATCGAAGAAACGGTCGAATGGACAGGACGAATTCACGTATAAACAAACAGTTTCATACGTTTAACACGTAGTACTTATTATCGAAACCAAGAAATAGGATTTGAAATATCATATTAGATTAGTGTATAATTATATTCAGATCCAAGCCATTTGTAAGACAGTAAAATAATAATATGGTCAAGATCAAGAACAAAAATATAATATTTCGGCCGTAAATACAATCGTATTCCACCGAAAACTAATGCGTTCAATTCAAGCTGTACAGTGTACACTGTACACGTTCAATGATGATTTTGGTAACTCACTTTGCCAGAGTCCGGAGTGCAACGATCAGATGGTCAAAATCTAAAGACAACCTGTGGCTAGTCACCGCCGTCCGATATCCACGGACGGATTCGTTTTCCAAGACGATCACGTCCCGGTGTGCCTGTTCTTCGCAATCATTGCGCCCGTAAACGTAACGGCAGAGGGTCGGTGTAGCGGTCACGTTTCCGTTCCGCTGCGAGCCGCGGCTAGCCAACAGGAACGGAGCTATACGTTCGTAGAACAGCGTCTCGTTGTGGAACTGACTGTCGTTATTGTAGAATATCCGTTTTTCGAGTGTCGGGTGCTTGTACTTGAACACAAGCCGATGATCGTGGCGTCGACCGTCGCTGTCGTTGACGGTGGCCGTGCCGTACAGGACGCACGACGCGAACTGATCCAGCTCGGTGTGAAGTCGCTCCAGTTCGAACGAAACGAGCTGGATGTCCGTCCCGAACGCTCCGGCCGTGGTCATATCCGCTATCGTTTCGTCCACCTTCTCCGCCATCGTATTCAGCCCACAGTTACACAATCAGGTGTTGTCGTCGTCTTCACAGTGTACTCGTTCGTATGGTCGGAGTGGCACTGGCCGAACCGTGTACTGAAATGCGCACCGCCTAGGTAATTACTGGCGAATTTAAATCGGACCTTGACACCCTAAACAGTTTCAGTTGAATTACAGTGATTAGATAATTACAATAATTTAATATATTTTAGTGTAACTGTTACCTGCGATTAGTTTATTATTTTAGACATTGCCCTTTAAGGTGTTACTGTGACCAAGGTTATCATACAAGTATCTAAGTACACGCTCGTGTATGTAGTTTCCTAACCGGTAACTTTTGCGTCTCCGATAATATTGCACTTGGAAATCTGATTAGGAACGACCAACGACGTGCATTTACCTAAGAAGGATTCAAATTAAAACATTTGAATTTTTAATCAACCGAAACGTCTTACATTGTTACTCTAAAATACGACAATGCACAAGATATTATTTTATTTGATCTATCCATTAATTTGTATTTCAAAGAATTATAACTATTATAATACATAAAAACGGATGTATGTGCGATACAAAATAGCAGTTATATTGAAATTGACAACTTCCCTAAACATTGTCTTTGAAAATAACAAAACCCATGTGTACAAAGTTCTCAGTATAAGCTCTTTAAAATACTTTACAAAAAAAATAAACCGTCATACATATTTTATATATATTAATTTATTTTAATCCCTTTTATTAAAAACTCAATATTTAAATAACATATCATTTATAGGTAGGCACAATGTACATATTTAATACCTATTTAACTCAAAATGTAAATAAAATAATATTGGTACATTATAATGAAACATATAAAATAAAAAACATTATATGACAACCAAATCAGGCACAGCTGCATACACTAAATTATATACAATGGTGAGTATCAAACTATAAACAAACCGATAACCAGTGCCGCAACTTAGTTATTTAGGGCCCCAGGGCAAATTTAATTTCGGGCCCTATAACTATAGGGGGTACATCATATTATAAAATGCTGCTATATATTTTTTTTTTTGGATAAAATTAAAAGGCATGATAAATGATAATTATTTTGTACATCTATTTTATTCTATGTTTCTGTGGAAATATTATCTGTATTAATATAATTTATTTTATATATTTAAATAATTTTAATAAACATAACAATACATTAATTCATACTTAATCAAATTTCATTTTTCTTGCTTTCATATTTGAAAAATTTGTTAATATTTTGTCCATATCAATTTCTTTTGTACGAAGCTGTTCAATATTTAAAATTGAAATATTGGACAGTCGTTCTTGTCCAATTGAATTTCTTAAATAGCTTTTTATTATCTTAAGTTTTGAAAAAGACCTTTCTGCTGTTGCAACCGTTACTGGCAATGTCAAATAAATTATACTTGCTCCTAATATATCAGAGTAACTCGTGGCAAAATCGTTTTCGAGAATAAATGAAGCCAGTGCTTGGAAACTATTCAAATTTTTATTATTTATAATTTCATTGATTGATAGCAGTTGACTCGTTAAATCAGAACTTATATCTGTTTGATACATTTGTATAAAGTCATATGATCCTTTAATAGTAATTTCATCTGGTCCTAATAGTGTTTGAGGTTTCAAAAAATTGAAAATGGTACAAACGTTATGTAAACCTTTAAAGCGATCTTTATGTTGACATATTATTGTGTCAAAAATTGGTAAAAATACTTTTATTTTAAAATTATCTTGTGTGATATTCAACCGTCTGTCGCCATCTATTTCATCAAAAAACAATCTTGCTTTTTTTTTGGCGAGCCACTTTGTCATCAATTAGAATACCCCATTTAATTGCCAGGTTGCTTGCATTTTCAACTACACTACAATAGTCATTCCTTAGTTGCTGCATACATGTATAGGCATCAGTCAATCTATCTAATGCTTTCTGGAGGTCAATGTCTTGCTTCTGCAAAAGTTTAGAGATACCATGCAAAGGGCGCAATACTCGTGCCCACAAACATAACATAAGAAAAAATACAAAAGATTCTATTTTTTTTTTAATTGAAATTGCCATAATATGTTTTTCATCTACTTTATTACTTGATAAACTCATGTATGTTAATGATTTTATAACTCCTATATACCTTTGTTTTAATGCAGATACTGATGAATGCCTCCCAGCGAGTAGGACAAACTTTTTTTAATACTTTAAGTCTAATTGTTTTGGAAGTGTCATCACCAAATGCAAATATTATGCCCATCTAGGACAACTAGAACTATAAAAATTGAATATAGTTTGTAATATTGTAAAAAAGTTAGTTCAACTTTCGTCAATTTTGCTGCATCACAAATCATCAAGTTAAGGTTATGTGCGCAGCAGTGTACATAATGTGAATTCGACACAGTAGTCAGTAGAAGATATTCTTTGTTGCACTCCTGAATAAGCTCCACTCATTACTGCTGCACCATCATAACCCTGCAGGCCTCGACAATTTTGGATGCCTAAATTGTATTTTTTCAACACGTCATAAATAAGATTTTCATACCTAGTCCTTTGAGCCATGGTTCTCTAATTCAAAAAACCCAAAAAAAGATTATTTTACTTCAAATGATTTTGTTTCGTAGTTTAAAATAACATAACGCAGTATACCTAACACTCAATTGATCAATTTTTGTTATATCTTGTGTCGAATCTACTATTATTGAATAATATTTAGATCTTTTTACTTCGTTTGCTAATATATTTAATACTTCTGAGGATAATAAATGAATGAATGAATTATTTTATATTTATAAAATTTAAATTATAAATGTGAAAAAATTTAATATACATAGAACCATAGATATGCTATAAATTTTATTGGTGAATTATTATTTTGTATGTAGGTACCTAAATGTAAACGAAAGAGATATTTTTATTCTATTTTTATTTTTCACTTTTGTGGTGCTTACTTTGGTTTATAAGACAAACTAAGTCTATATTCAGTGTAGCCAACGCCAAGATTATCGGTGATTTTTTCATCATTAATCTTTTATCACAGAATAAATCTATGAAATTAAATTGACTTGCCGCCAAAGACCTTATACTACTACTGCCATAGATAGTACTATATACTATCTTTAATCTTGCTTATACCATAGACTTTTACCCACAGATATATAAAAATACTATTTTTATATATCTGTGCTTTTTCCGCATTATTACTAATCGATTATGAACTCCTTAACATTTAATATTTAAAATAATTCCATTCAAAATACATTTTTACAAAATCAAAAACCAGGAAAAATAATAATAGTATCCATCCATTATGGGCCCCCTTTGAAAAATACATTTGGGCCCTTTGGCTTTGCCCTGCTTGCCCTGGTGGTAGTTGCGGCACTGCCGATAACCATATCACAGGTACATGTATTCCATGTCGACGATGTATTGGACAATGTCAACCACTAAGTATATATATACCCGACAAAATGTCGCCACCTTGCTGTAAAAGCCACTAAAAAGTTTCTTCACCGTCCATTCCTTCATTATCAACGACATTAGATTCTAACTGATAGGGTAAGAAAAATGATGAGTGTGAAAAACCAAAATAAGCAAACGTGGCCATTTCATAGTCCAGTTCGGACCTGTTCGGAACGCGTACGCCGGACGGTACGGATTTCGCCAAAGTCAAGCAATACGCGTTGAATAAGTCATCCCACCGACCTTCACGCAAGTTTTGCATTGTGTACATCTAGAAGAAAAACGACAGATCTAACGCCGGCTAATCATAACGAGGCGTTCGGAAATCAAACAGCAACACACATTGACCGGAGGTCATACCTCGTCGTATCGGAACAACACATTGTTCAGGTTGAAGTCCCCGTGGCACAGGACTGAAAATGGATCTCGGAGAATGAGCTCACGTCTCACGTCGTGTGAAAACGTCGTTTCCGTCACCGATGATTTCGTTAAATCGACGCAAGTGCTCGTTTTCTCGATAAAGGTCACCACTACGTTTAAGCAGTTTGTCGACTAATCGCTTACCGAAACTACTTAATGCGTTGTTCTTAAATAACCACTGTCCATCTACATCAAATTTTGTATCCCGAATATTCATAATGATTTTTTGAAATCGATCGGGGTCTTTGTATTTTTCAGTGTATGACAAATTGACAACCCATGAAACATGAAAGTAAATTAAATATGTATCATATATTATAGTAGTGGATTCCCGGCGTTACATGATTGCTTATAATCAGACATCTGCAGTTTATAATCTATATCCAATATTAAACAGAAAATTATTTTAGATATTGATAATTTGAAAGTAACCAAAAAAATACAAACAATCACATATTTCATATAAAGTGAACATTTCAGACTTCAATAATTTTCATAATATTGAATTTGTTTTTATTTAAAAGTATAATTATGTTTACTCACTTGGCTAAAGCAATAAGGAGGTGATAATAGTCAAGGAACGGACGTGCTTGGCTCAATTGGAATCCCAAAGGATTAACGTTCTCCAATACAATTAAATCTCTTTCAACAATTTCGCCGCATTTATTGCGACCGAAAAAAAAATGATCCAATGTGGGACACTTCCCGGTATCAGCCATAGAGCGATGAAATTCAAATTTCAAATAAGAATGATATAATTCTTTCATACATAGTAATTTCACTATGGAAATGAAGGTCAATTTTAAACCTAACGCTCAGCTTTTCGTCTCATAGTTTTAAAATGATCACTACATGATATTAATATTTATCAGATGTACCCGTGGCTGTTATAAATATTACCGTTGACTTGTACTGTTACTATCCGACATGATCCTTGTTCAGTTCAAATTTTAAATGACACATATTTGAGATTTTTACCGAACGCACCACAATTATTGGCAGTTCTTCTCGCAGTAAAGAGTCCATTGCTACAATTATTGATTTGATTACAACATGTAACTCTTTTATTTCTTTGACTACTAATTCGTTTTAGTTAATAACAAAATATAATGAACTATATTATTATCTTTGTACTTCACTGACAATTTTTATATACATGGCAATCGACGTAACTCAAAACAAATTTGGTTGTCATTTTAATATTATTGACTACTGAAAATGATAATTAAAATGTTTTTATTTTAGACGGTTTGACCAATATTCATCAGTAATGAATCAATGTTTTATTTTTTCGTCCAATGATTAGAATAATACGGGGTGAAGACACATAGTTTTCGGTTTCATGTCAATTAAGGATTAACATGAAACAGTATAGATCATATGCTTGCCCAGCAATGCCCACTATGTATATCAATCATGATTTATGCAATAATGAATTTACTCATGTATTAAAGAGTCATAAGTTAATTTGAATCATACTTACTAGTTGTAGCGTATAGTACTATTAAACATTTTTATCAAATTGCATTGTTTACAGTATACATTTATGATCATACAGGATTTAACTAAATTATTGAAATATGATTATTCCATAAGTCATTGGAATCAGTGCATATCTCTTGGTGTAGGAGCCATACCTTGAAAAAAACATTATCTGCAGTAATTACGTGGCTTAAAACTTTAACTCAAATGGCTTTTGAATAAGATGTCACAATATGGATACTAAATACTTTGATATTAATTTTGTATATATTCGTATACGTTGATATAAACTTTTAAATTTTAATTCCAATGAATATGTTACTATAATGGGTAATACACTGGTAATACACGGGTCAACTGGTAATTACATATTATATATTTTTTAGATTCAGTACTAGTTTTATTATACCATAATTTGTTTAATATATTTCAATTGCAATTTCTCTGTACAATAGTACACATTAGATTTGTGCAAAAAAAAAAGTATGGCTCACATATTTATATTCCAACTTTACGAAAAATGTTTTTTTTATTTACAATGTATAATGAAAAAAACTATAAGATATAATTATATTATATCTAAAGGTATATTCGATCAAAATTTGATTTGCTCAGTCCCTATATAGAATAAGCTTCTTCTTCACATTCGTTGTCCCTACCTAACACAGCCAGTTAATTTAAACAATTTAAAATTACTTGTAATTAGTTTTTAAATTCAAACATCTAATAAATCTAACGAGGGAACACGGATAATGTTATCGTTTTAAATTCGATTGTAAAAGTACATTTTTTAACTTCAATGCCATAATTAAATATTGTAAAATATAAATTTAGTTCGCTAAACTTAATTCAAAAGTCGTTAAACTTTCATTACGACGAGTCTTTTCCGATCTAGAAATTTGCTTGTAACCAGATCAAAAATATTATTGAATATATTTTTGTTTAACAACCTGTCATGTTTAAATATATTTTATTTGTTTGTAAATCAATGAAAATTGTATGGATTCATTTATATATGTAGTTAAAATATACTTGTCATGATACTTAAAATATTTAGATGATAAAATGTATTGTACACATATAAAATCATAAGAAAAAATTAATGAAAATATATGACAAGTTTGGTACATTTTTTAAATTTAAAACTTGATGATTTTTATGTCATATCATTGATTATAAATAAATTTAAAATGTGTGTTATATCCTAAATTGTACGGTATAAGTTAATTATTGTCATCACCAAAAAGTATATCAAGGTATAGTTATTATAATTGGTAAAAAAAAAAATATTATAAAATATAAATTATTGCCGGTAGAAATTATACAATTAAATATTAATAATAGTATTAATTTAATTTACAATATTAATAATAATGGTACCTAAAGTTAGAAAATAGATAATTACTTTCGAATTACAGTATATTGTGCTGTTATCTGATTTTAATAAAAAAAAAACCACATGATATCGAGCTAAATCTGCAGTTATAAGCTTATGCTGACGATTGAAAATAAGGCCTAAATAAAATACAATTCAATGTTTATAAATATGAAGTAAAAATCACAAGCACTCCGATTGCCATCCCAACGTCCAAGGTAGTTAATACTAACTCGGAATTGTGGTTTCGTAAGTGGTCGTCAATTATAAATTATAAATTATAAATAATATTTATTTTTATGAAAAAAATGCCCTGCCACCTTCTGCCGGAAATAATTTCTGCACAGTATGTTGTATTTGTATATTACAGTGAACTATCCATATTTAATGCTTATATTATTACATAATATGTTATTTTTAAAATAAAAAAAATCTTGATATTTTCTCCACTGCACGGGATAATAATGAATCATAATATTATGTTGAAGTCTTTGATGATCACTGTTTAAATAGTTCTATATTTCTATTGTTATGCCGCGACCGTCTGCATTGGCGTACTTGCAGCGGATAAAGTGTTGTACAGTGTCAGTGACCCATTCAGTGGCCGGGTCACCGCCAAATGACACCAACAAGCGCAACATTTGGAATTCATCGGCAACATTAGAACTCATCACAATCCACCTGAGCGGTTTCCTCCAATATTATGCCTGCGAAGTACGACACGTGAGCCAGACCGTAGAACCCATATTCTCGTATTTCGGAGTCCAGCTGATCGCGGCCCGGCACCCGGACGTCACCTGCAACCGCGGCCAGCGTAGAGCAGTACACATCCAGCAACGTGTCCCAATGATCGTCCCGGGTCCGGCGATCCGCGTTCATGTACAGAAAGAACGACAGGTCTAGGACCGGCGACCAGTACCGGATAGTGGCCATGTCGTACGCCAGCGAGTCCACTGGCCGACCGCTGTCGTCGTACTGGAACAGCAGATTGTTCCGATTGAAGTCACCATGGCACAGTACGGCCATTGGTTCGACGGGAACGACCTTTCGTTTCAACGATTGCATAGAATCAGCTAACAGTTCTGACTGGAACCAGCTAATCCAATCGATTTCACCGCAGCCATCACCGGCAACGTGACGTTCTTTTAGCCTGTCCAAGGCCATCGAAAACAATCCCTGGAGTACGTTGGGGTGGAAACCCCACTCACCAATATTGTTAATATAAATATATTTAATATAGAAATAGAAACACCTGATAACCGAAAACAAATAAATTTACTATTTATTTACGACACGGGCCGTCCATCCGGACGAACCGTTTCAACTGGCGCCCAACGTGGGGCTCGAACCCACGACCCCGAAATTAAGAGTCTCGTGCTCTTAATAATTATTTAATCATACGAAAATAATATTATTACTAGGTAATTATTAGTACCTACTATCTATTACTCAAGACCATTTTTATCAATAATTATCATTATCGTTTATCGTGGACGACTGTATGAGATATCCAAATACATATAGCTTTAAATTAATATATAAATTTGTAGAGAAAAGTTCAGAATGATCATAATTTTGATTACCTATTGAATAAATCATGTTTTTAAAATGCAACAAACAAATTTTTGATTATAACAAATTATTTCAGAACTAAAAAGTAAAAAGAATTTTTTTTGTATTTGAAGATTATTTCAAATACTTCTGAAAAATATTTGAGTATTACGCAAATACTTTACTATTTATAGTATTTTTGTGGTATTTTAAATACTTTATTTTAAAAGTTTTTTTTACAACACTGATGAAAACTAAATATTTTAAATTTTGTTTTTCCATTTACTTTACATTTATTTAGGTACAATATAATTTTGTATAGGTAATTTGTTCGATGTAACTATTAGAGTACCTATATTATGTGTTATGAACCTATGAGCTCAATTTAATCTGATTTTGTATAGGTAATTTGTTCGATGTAATATTGTTAGTGTACCTATATTATGTATTATGAACCTATGGGCTCAATTTAATCTGATTACGATCAAAACAATAACACAAACATATAATATATCATAACATAATACTGTAGATAAAATATTTAAGACCATATTTTATTTGTTTGTAAATCGATGAAAATTGTATAGCTTCACTTATATTGTTAAAATATACTTATCAGTTATCATATTAATATTGGAGTTAGTACTTAGATGATAAAATGTATTTGCTTACATATATAATTTTAAATAATATTTATTTTTATACAAAATGACCTACCACTCTCTGCGGGAAATAATTTCTGCGCAGCGTATTAAACATTGCAGTGAGCTGTCTATATTATTTATAAATTATAATCAATGCTTATAACATTGCATATGTGATATTCAAAACAAAAAAAAGTTGATATTTTCTCCGCACACTGAAAATCATTGAATCATAATATTATGGGGTATGTTTTTGGTGGTTACTGTCATAATATCATGCAATAAAAATTTATATATGTCAATAAATACGGTTTATACAGTTTTGCCAAATATTATAACTATAATTACTGTTTATTTATATTATTTTGATGTTGAGTTGCAATTTCAAATGAAATGAGAAATACGGAATCGTTAAATAAAATAATCGATATATTTGAATATCGATTACTGGATGAAGCCTAATATCAATTAATCGATATAATTGTAGTTATAGTTAAATTGTCGATGTCCTATCAACTGTACCTACAGTCAGAAAAAAACAATGTTGAATCTTAGCCTAAAACACATATTTGTTAAAAAAAAAAAATGTATATGTATTTAAATGAATGACGTTTTATCGATAAACTGATTTTATTCCCATAAAAATCATAATACGAGTAAATCATAAAATATAATATATTATAAACCTACATTTTGAATATTAAAACATTTCAGTAGCATTCATTTTTAGGGTACGTTTATAGTTACCTAGTAGTCGTATTAAATAAAAGATTTCAAATAATGTTGCTGCTGTAGTTTGATTAGTTATACCTTATAAAAAATTAAGTAGAACAGTATTAATGTAATATAATATATATTATTTAAGTATAATATTACAGTTAATATATTTTTATTTTTAGATTCTGAGCGGAGCGATGAATGTATTGGTTTTACAATGATGTATGTTTTTATATTTTTATTTATATTTTTATATTTTTATATTTTTATATTTTTGTGTCTGTCATCACGTTTTAGGACAGTAAAAGTGCTTCGATTTTCTTCAATAGTACCTTTTCTGATAGGAAAGTGAATCTAGTTGGTACTTTGGGGGGTCCAAAGTAAACATTTTCCAGTAGTTTTCACAAGCGCCGGGAAAAACAACATAAAAATTAAGGAAAAACGGGAATTTTTACGCAAAATCGATTTTCCAAAAAATCGAATTTGGTTTTTGGTGTAACTTTAACAAATGACCGTAGATACATGAAATTTTCACTGGTTGTTTATATTTGCATTTTCTATACACGATAACATTTTCAAAATATTTTGATTTATTTTGAACTGTTTAGGGACATTTTCATTTTTCATTTTTTTTTAGTTTTTTTTCTAGAAATATCAATAAAATTTTATTTGTTGGTTGCGAAAGCTTGAAAATTTAATAGAAGGCTCCTAATATGTTGTTTCAAAGGCAGATGAAAAATATTAAAAATCCTTAGTCACAATTTTTTTTTATAAGCATTTAAAGTTCAAAAATTGACAAAATATGGAAAAATCACGAAAATTAGCAAATTATTTTGAGTTAAGAATTCGTAAAAATTTTTCTTTTTAAATCTAAGATTTGAAAATGAAACACAAGATTCCTTATAAGATTATCTACCTTTATCAATAAAAAAATCTCTACCGGACAGTCAAATTAAATTTTTATGAGCGTTTGAAATTCAAATTTTTACAACATTGGATTTTCACTCGATTTCTCATGTAGCGATTTCCTTATTTTGTTGTAATTCAAAAACGAATAACTGTAGATACATGAAAATTTCACTGAATGTTTATATTAGCATTTCCTATACACCATACAATTTTGAAAAGATTTTGACTCTTTTTGAGCTGTTTACGGACATTTTCAGTTTTCAATTTTTTTAGTTTTTTTTTTTATAATTGTCAATAAAATTTTATTTGGTGGGCCAAAAAGTCTGAAAATTTAATACAAGCTTTCTTATATATTGTTACAATATCAGTTGAAAAATTTTAAAAATACATAGGCCCGATTTTTTTTATAAGCATTTAAAGTTGGAATTTTGACAAAATTTATCAAAATCTCGAAAATTATCAATCGTTGGAATTAAAAAATTATAAAATGTTCAGTTTTTATAACTAAGAGTTGAAAATTTAAAACAAAGATTCTCTTAAATAATTCATACTGTAACCAAAAAATCTAAAAAATATATAAACACACTTATTTTTTACAGACATTTTAATTTCAAATTTAAACCAAGAATTACGATTTTAGTTATTTTGTTGTGATTGAATAATACTATTCGTGGGTACTTGAAACTTCTAAAGTGTACTATTATATATCTATGATAGTATCACGGTTTTTGTTGATGTATAACGCGTTATAAGTATCTAATGGATATTGTGATATGATTAGTTTGGAATTTATTATAGGTAACTATTATAGGTCAATTTTTTGTTTAATACCATAGATATGTATATAATATGCCTTATACATAGACTGACATACCATCACCGCTCAGAATCATTTTTCTTATACAATGATATTATATCATTGAATTCAAATTTAATACCATCCATTATACAGTGACCCACTTGTAACCTACTGTACAGCAGAGCGACACCCACTTGCCCACCTTTTTATATTTTTTTTTGTGTCTGTCATCACGTTTTGGGACAGTAAAAGTGCTTCGATTTTCTTCAATAGTACCTTTTCTGATAGGAAAGTGAATCTAGTTGGTACTTTGGGGGGTCAAAAGTAAACATTTTCCAGTAGTTTTCACAAACGCCGGGAAAAGCAACATAAAAATTAAGGAAAAACGGGAATTTTTACGCAAATCGATTTTTTATTTATATTTTTATATTTTTGTGTCTGTCATCACGTTTTAGGACAGTGAAAGTGCTTGGATTTTCTTCATCAGTAGCTTTTCTGATAGGAAAGTGAATCTAGTTGGTACTTTGGGGGGTCAAAAGTATAAATTTCCCAGTAGTTTTCACAAGCGCCGGGAAAAACAACATAAAAATTAAGGAAAAACGGGAATTTTTACGCAAAATTGGTTTTTTAAAAAATCGATTTTGGTTATTGGTGTAACTCTAAAACAAATGAACGTATATACATGAAATTTTCACTGGTTGTTTATATTTGCATTTTCTATACACGATAACATTTTCAAAATATTTTGATTTATTTTGAACTGTTTAGGGACATTTTCATTTTCCATTTTATTTTAGTTTTTTTTCTAAAAATATCAATAAAATTTTATTTATTGGTTGCGAAAGCTTGAAAAATTAATAGAAGACTCCTAATATGTTGTTTCAAAGGCAGATGAAAAATATTAAAAATCCTTAGTCACAATTTTTTTTTATAAGCATTTAAAGTTCAAAAATTGACAAAATATGGAAAAATCACGAAAATTAGCAAATTATTTTGAGTTAAGAATTCGTAAAAATTTTTCTTTTTAAATCTAAGATTTGAAAATGAAACACAAGATTCCTTATAAGATTATCTACCTCTATCAATAAAAAAATCTCTACCGGACAGTCAAATTAAATTTTTATAAGCGTTTGAAATTCAAATTTTTACAACATTGGATTTTCACTCGATTACTCATGTAGCGATTTCCTTATTGTGTTGCAATTCAAAAACGAACAACTGTAGATACATGAAAATTTCACTGAATGTTTAAATTATCATTTTCTATACACCATACAATTTTGAAAATATTTTGACTCTTTTTGAGCTGTTTATGGACATTTACAGCTTTCAATTTTTTTTAGTTTTTTTTTCTATAAATATCAATAAAGTTTTATCTGTTGGGCCAAAAAGTGTAAAAATTTAATACAAGGCTCCTGATATATTGTTATAATATCAGTTGAAAAATATTAAAAATACATATTCACAATTTTTTTTATAATCATTTAAATATCGAATTTTGATAAAATTTATCAAATTTAAAATTGAATAATTATTTTGTAGTT